GACCACTTTAATAAAGTGAATATGGAAATTGCCTTGATGTCGATGGCTGCTGACTGATCAGGGTGGTGGTTGCTGAAGGTTGGGGGCGCTGTGGAAATTTCTTAAAATAAGACAACGATGAAGTTTGCTACATGGAACCACTCTTCCTTTCGTGAAAGCTTTCTCGGTAGCATGTAATGCTGTTTATAGCATGAAAGGAGTCTTTTTTTCTGAGCAGTAGGTCTCAACACTGGGCTTAAACTAGTCAGTAAATCATGGTGTAAACAAATGCTGTCATCCAGGCTTTGTTGTTCTATTTATGAGCACAGGAAAAGTAGATTTAGTATAATTCTTAAGGGCTTTAGGATTTTTGGAATGGTAAATGAGCATCTTGCTTCAACTTAAAGTCACCAGTTGTATTAGCCATAATAAGCAAATCAGCTTGTCTTTCAAGCTTTGAAGCTGGCCATTGACTTCTCTTGAGCCATGAAAGTCCTAGGTGGCATCTTCTTTCAATATAAGGCTGTTTTGTCTATATTGATAATTTGTTCAGTGTAGCCACCTTCATCAGTGAGCTTGGCTAGCTTGTCCAGATAACTTGCTGCAGCTTGTATGTTAGCACTTGCTGCTTCACTTTGCACTTTTATGTTATGAAGACTTCTATCCTTAAATCTCGTGATCCAACCTCGGTTAGCTTCCAAGTTTTCTCATGCAGCTTCCTCACCTCTCTCAGCCTTCAAGAATTGAAGAGAGTTAGGTCTTTGCTGTGGATTAAGCTTTGGGTTCCCAGCCCCCAGGCCACACAGCAGGAAGTGAGTGATGGGCGAATGAGGGAAGATTTACAGCTGCTCCCTATTGCTTGCATCACCGCCTGAGCTCCATCTCCTGTCGGATCAGCAGTTGCATTGATTCTCACAGCGCAGACCCTACTGTAAATTGCGCATGTAGGGATTTAGGTTGCGCACTCTTTATGAGAATCTAATGCCTGATAACCTTAGGTGGAGCTGAGCCAGTGATGCTAGCGCCGGGGAGCGGCTGCAAATACAGATTATCATTGGCAGAGAGGTCTGACTGCACAATAAATATAATGTGCTTGCATCATCCTGAAACCATCCCCCCACCCATGTCCATGGAAAAATTGTCTTCCATGAAACTGGTCCCTGGTGCTGAAAAGGTTGTGGACTGCTGGCTTAAGGGAATCTTGTGTCTGATTTAATCTATCACTAAAACAACTCCATATCAACAATAAGGCTGTTTTGCTTTCTTAACATTAGTGTGTTCACTGCAGTAGCACTTTTCATTTCCTTCAAGAACTTTTTCTTTGCATTTACAGCTTGGCTAAGTTTGGTGTAAGAGGCCTACCTTTTGACTCACTAAGCTCTATCATTTCTAGCTTTTGAGTAAGAGTGAGAGACATATGACTCTTCCTTTCACGTGAATACTTAGAGGCCACTGTAGGGTTATTGATTGGCTTAACTTCAATATTTTTGTGTCTCAGGAGATAGAGAGGCCCAAAGAGGAGGAACAAGATGGAGAAATATGGGGCAACAGGTGGTCAGTGGAGCAGCACACACACACAGCATTTATCAAACTTACTTTTTTTATGGGCACGATTCGTGGTGCCCCAAAGCAATTGCAATATAACATCACAAACCAGTCATCATAGGTCACCATAACAGATATAATAATAATTAAAATGTTTGAAATATTGTGAAAATTACCAACATAAGACACAGACATGAGGTGAGCACATGCTGTTGGGAAAGTGATAGATCTGCTCGAGGCAGAGTTGCCACAAACCTTCCATTTGTGAAACGCAGCGTCTGGGGAGCGCAGTGAAGCGAAGCACAGTGAGTCCCATAGGTACCTGCAGTAGAGAATCATTTTTATAGTTTTGTGAAAGAACTGTGAGATATTTAATTGGGTTAAAACTATCTTATGTAAATTGGGTATAATCCTTGACACATTGACTTTCATCTTTTATAACACAAATGATTTAAAACTGGCATTTCTCTTTTTTTCTACCATGCCTAAACAAAACAACATATTAATAATCATGTTTCTCTAGTCTGCTAAGGAATAATAATTTATTATGTAATAACTTACATAATACTAATTATTGTTATACTTCACATATCTCAAAGTAAGTTACTTGGAATCCATAAAGAAGATAAAATTCTTTTGAGTAGTCAAAATAGAGGCCCAGGACCATGCACTGTAGTTTGTGAACTGGACCCGAAGGGTACAGCTTTGACCCAGTCCTATTTATTCTTACTCTAGATGTTAATGGAATTTAAAAGTTGTGTATGTGGTTCTTGTGCCCATAGCCTATTGGGGGAGGGAGAGAGAGTTTCTGGACACATGCAAATTGCTAGTAACAAAAGACAGGAGCTGGTATACCTAGCAGATGGGGGGATGAAAGGGAAAACTCGATAGTGATCCTAGAGTCTGAGAAAGGATGGCAGGTTGGTGTGGAGCTGGTAGCGCTGCGTGGCCTCTGTGATGTAACTGTTGATAAAAGCAAAAAAATCATTAAATACTTATTTTATGGCAGGTGTTGTGCCAATTGTTATATATGCATTATTTTATTTAATACTTAACAACTATATACACATCATTAGCCTCATAGATGAGGAAACTGTGAAATAGCAAGATTGTCACATGGAAGTACACACAGGACATGAACCCAGGTTTGTCTGACACTCACGCCTGTAATCCTAGCACTCTGGGAGGCCGAGGTGGGTGGATCGTTTGAGCTCAGGAGTTCGAGACCAGCCTGAGCAAGAGCGAGACCCCATCTCTACTAAAAATAGAAAGAAATTAATGGGCCAACTAAAAATATATAGAAAAAATAAGCTGGGCATGGTGGCACATGCCTGTAGTCCCAGCTACTTGGAAACTGAGGCAGAAGGATCACTTAAGGCCAGGAGTTTGAGGTTGCTGTGAGCTAGACTGATGCCATAGCACTCTAGCCCGGGCAACAGAGTGAGACTTTGCCTCAAAAAAAAAAGTGTGCATTTATTCATTACCCTTGTGCCCTTCCACTTATTAGCACAATGAAATAATTGACTCTAACTATAATCTTTTTGAATAAAGGGTTAAAACGTTTAGCTTTTTTTAAAGCCTAGAAAGTATAAAAGTATTTTAAAATAATTTTTATTTTAAATAGTTCAAATTGCAGTTTTTCCAGAAAAATATGTTAAGACATTGTTGTCTAAAAAATTTTGTAAAACATTTTATTTCTTGCAAAGACAAATGTATTTTGTAAATTTGTTACATCTATATAGATTTTTGAATAAGGAACAATGTATTAATTACATTACCTTATCTACTAAAGGAAATGAATGAATCTCTCTAGCTAACCTGTACAGGTGCTGAATTAATTCTTTTTGTTTATATTTCATGCTATTCCAAAAAGAATTAGGGCACTTATGAAACATATATGTTAATTTGCAACCAAAGTAGTTGGAGAATAGCTTACCTTGGGTCAGTCTGTTTAGTGAGAACTCAGTGGTAGTCTCTGCATGTCTGCAACATGAGTACAGTGAGGGTGGAGGTGCTTTGTTTGTGCATTAATGTGTTTCCAGTGCTTTTTAATACTGCTTGCAAATAAAGGTGTTGAAATATCAGTTGCTCATTTTCAAAAACATGGAATTATAGTTGCATGCAGTACATTGAATTTATACTTAACATAATTTTTATCATTGACTCTTGATTTTATAAACTTTTGCAAAGATTATAGCTATCATTTTGAAACTCAGTTTCAAATTTTAGTATTTTACCTATAAAAAATATGAGATATTGGGCCGGATACTCCCTCCTAATGACATATCTTAAGGGCTCTAACTTTTAACTAAATTTGTTCTTATTATTTTAGTTGCCATTTATTGTGGTTTTATAGAAGACTGCAGAATGAGCCAAATGGGTAAAAGATCATGTAAACATGCCTGCCTGTCTCTGTTACTTTTTCTTTCCCACTACGAATTGTTTACTAGAACTTCTGTGTTGTAGTGGTTTTTTATTAATAAAATCCCGGGAATTAGACCCAGAACCTTGGGAGGTTGCATAGCCTGTGCCTCTATCATATTGGGGCCATCATATTACCTGCCTCTTGCAGTTGCTATGATGAGTAAATGGGTTCATTTAATATCTATAAATCACTTAGAATAGTGGTTGGCACATTAAGGCTCAATAAATGCTAATTATTATTTTTAGGGTTTTATGAGGCTTACATTAAATGGGATTATGCATATAAAATGTTTAGTAGAGTATCTGGCATTTATTAAGTGTTCAATCAATACTAGTGGCTCTAATTTATTTTTTTTATTATTATTTATTTTTTTTATTTTTTTTTTGAGACAGAGTCTCGCTTTGTTGCCCAGGCTAGTGTGAGTGCCGTGGCGTCAGCCTAGCTCACAGCAACCTCAAACTCCTGGGCTCGAGCGATCCTTCTGTCTCAGCCTCCTGAGTAGCTGGGACTACAGGCATGTGCCACCATGCCCGGCTAATTTTTTATATATATATCAGTTGGCCAATTAGTTTCTTTCTATTTATAGTAGAGACGGGGTCTCGCTCTTGCTCAGGCTGGTTTCGAACTCCTGACCTCGAGCAATCCGCCCGCCTCGGCCTCCCAGAGAGCTAGGATTACAGGCGTGAGCCACCGCGCCCGGCCAAGTGGCTCTAATTTAAATATTCTGCCTATATATCTAAAGAAGCTATGTCTTTGGATCTCTGCACTTGTCATATCTTTAGTGAATTTATTTTAGGGAGTGAGGGAAAAACTATTAGTTTTTATGTTAGCTTTTCCCAGTAGGTACAAGTTACAAAGTTTAAAAAATGTTAAATAAGCATGTACTGTAATTATTTTCTGATTTCTAATTTAGGTCATTTGTTATTTTAAGTTGTGTTTATTTTTACTATTAAAAAGTAGAGATCTTGATTAATATCACAATTTAGGGAACTTTGTGAAAGCCTGTCACTCTCTAACCTATTTTCTTCTTTTATTGTTATCTTCTTTATAGGTCTGTGGAATCTTGCTTCTCTTTTTTCCAATCTTTGTTTATTTGTGTTGATGCCCTTTGCCTTTTTCTTTCTGGAATCAGAAGGTTTTGCTGGCTTGAAAAAGGTGAGTGAATCTAGTTTTGGAGTTAAATTTGTTAAATGAGGAACTAAATATCATTCATGATGAACTAGACAAAGTTGGGTTAAATCATTTGAATGGAATATAAAAAGTTCAGTTAATAAGTAATAATATTAACACACAACAATAACATCACTAATAGCACACGGTGAATTATTTTGCATGTCCATGGGGAGTAGTCATCTTTTAGTACCTGTGCATAATTTTATAGTATGCATAAACTTAGTGGAGTATTCTTTTGTGGAATGCATAAGCCTGATGTAATAGCTGTTAGTCTTTTCTTATTCTTTTCTATTCTTTCTTAAACTAAGCTCATTTAGTTTAAAGCATGGCATGAAATTCTGAAAATCTTAAACTATATGTTGATGTAAAAGTTATTTCATATCCAATATTTTCAGGCTATTAGCATGTTAAAAAAATGAAAGATTAGATGGTCAAACTCCCAAGATACTGATAGTAACTGATCTTGTGTGAATGTGGAAGGTGTAGAAGTGGGCAAACTGGGAGACCTGGCAAGAGCATTTTACAAAATTAATCAAGACTTCCAAGTGTTAATAACTTCATCTATTTTTAAATATAGCATTTTAAAATTAAAGAAACAAAATTTCTATTTATAGCCTATGCATATTTTTACCGTAAATTTTTTGGACTATAATGCAATGAGATAAGTAATTAATCCATATTGAGTGACTTAAACTTGACAGAGTGAGTTCTAGTGTTATAGATTAGACATAGTACACCTTTTAAATGTTTAATTCTGTTGGTGTTGTAAATATATGGCATACCTATATATCTTAAGATCGAATAAACCTATAATGCCAGTTAAATAAATTTGGCTAGGGAAGTTGTAAACTGTATATGAATTATTACTTTTTATTTCCTATAACTATATAGAATCTTAGGAATGAAATTGTTTAATCTAACACTTTAACAGCTCTTCTGATTTTAAATCTTAGGTGTCACAATTTATTTTTTATATTTATTTATTTATTTATTGATTGATTGATTGATTGACAAAGTCTCACTCTGTTGCCCAGGCTAGAGTGCCATGGCATCAGCCTAGCTCACAGTAACCTCCAACTCCTGGGCTCAAGCGATCCTTCTGTCTTAGCTTCCCACGTAGCTGGGACTACAGGCATGCGCTGCCATGCCTGGCTAATTTTTTCTGTATAAGTTTTTAGCTGGCCAATTAATTTCTTTCTATTTTTAGTAGAGATGGGGTCTCGCTCTTGCTCAGGCTGGTTTCGAACTCCTGACCTTGAGCGATCCGCTCACCTGGGGCTCGCAGAGTGCTAGGATTACAGGCGTGAGCCACCGCATCCGGCCTACACATTTAAAATCTATATATTCAAGGGTGCAGTGAAAGCATCCATGAGAAATGACAGTTCAAGCGTTGTTTCTGTGGGCTTACCTTTCTGTTTTCTAGCTGTTATTCTGTAAAGTAGCAGTCTACAGCTGAACACTAATAGCTGGTTTCATAGTAAGTGTACCAAGGTCAGAGTGAGTGATTGTATTTGGCAGTTAAACCTGACAGTGAGAAAAGTGGCTTTTATTTGTTGGAATTGCTTTTTATCATGATGTATTCTTAAGACTGGGAATTAAAATTAAGCCATCTATGTAATGTGAAAGAATTATATAGTTTCAGTTTAAGGAGCTATTTGACTATTTATAATTGCTGGAAGACATTATACAAAGTACTATTGCTGAAAAGGTTTAGTTCAAACTGTCCTTTTATAAGGAGAGAACTAAGGTTCAAAGATATTAAGTGGTATTAAATTGTCTAAGAACCACACATGTAAAATAGCAGAACTAGAACTGAAACCCAGAGTTGCTTCTGACCTTCCAAAGTGTTGGTATCTTTCACATATCAACATATGGAAAGCCAGCAAGGAAGATGAGATGGCTCGGGTAAAATGAGGAGGGAGAAGACAAGAGGACCGTGGAACTGTGGCACAGGAAAGGAGTAAGGAAAGATTCTGAGCAGGTGTTGTGAGATAGTGTGAAAAAAAGAAAAAGAGCGATCTCTCGGAAGCCAAAGGATGGAGAATTTTTAGGAGAATGGAATATGAAATATTCAGAGTTAAAGAGGGGCTGACAAGAACGAACAGTGAAAAGAAAGGAAGTCATTGGGCGACTCTTGAGAAGGCGATTTCTGTAGAATTTTGGAGCCCAAACTTTTGATGGGTAGTCATTCATTCAACAGAGTTTTATTAAGTAATTCCTAGTGATAGTTATTATGCTATTGTAGGAGCTTTCTGGGGACACTGATGAAAAGATGGGGCTCCTACCTTTAAAGGACAGACAGTGGGAGCAATGAGAGATGCAAACAAATAAGATGCATTTTGGTGAACTTTTATGTAATGAGGTGCTGTGGGAAATACTGAGGGAATGGATATCTTGATTTGCCTGGGAATTGGGCAGGTGTCACAAGGGGAAGTCAGCCCAAACTTGGGGTAGGACTTGAAGGATGAGCAGGGGTTTGCGAGAGTGGCATTCTAGGCTTGGGCACAGGTCTGGAGTTCTGACAGAATTGAGGGATGGCTGGTACTTCTGAGAATACTGGAGAGTGGTGAGAGATGAGGGTGCACACGTGGCTCATCAGGGTCAAACCCAGGAGGCCTGGAGTCCTCTCTGCCAACGAGTTTGTATTGTACGCTGTAGACAACAGGGAGCTGGCAAAGGATTTTCTGAGAAGAATTTTTGCATCTACCATTTCATTTAAGTGTATTTAGAGATAAACATGTTGTAGAGTTTCTACACATGTCATAAGGAAAGGAGTACATACTCCACATAATGAGAAACACTGTTTTGTAGCTATGTCACCATACTGAGTCAGTCATGTACCTAGCTGTGTTAAACAGGATGTTATATCATATGTTGCTAAAATTGACATGTTGATGTTTGCTTTAAATATGTGAAGTTCTTCCCTCTTTCTAACACTGCTCCTCTGTAAGATTACCAAATACAAAAAACAATTTGTAAACCTGTGTTAAATATATTTTCATATTTGGTATTACAGGGGTATCTGCCTAGTTTATACTTTTTATAAAAATCTAGTTATTAGTTAAATAGGTTATTTTATTTAAAAATTATTTTTATTTTTAGAAACAGGATTTCACTCTGTTGCCCAGGGTTTTAATTTGGTTTTTAACACTATTAAAAGAAGGGTTGTAGCTTGAAGGTAGAGAAGGTAAAATTCTTTTAAAGTAGGAGAGTCTGATGGTACTGGTATGCTGAGGAGAAGGGGCCAGGGAAGAGAGTTTGAAGGTACTAAGGTGAGAAAGTGTGTCTTTAGAGTCAGACTGTCTGGGCAGGTTACTTCAGAAAGAAACCTCAGGTTTTCTTTCTGTAAAATGTGTATAATAATGATATTTACCTTACTATAATATTTTGATGATTGAATGAGAAGTGATTATTGTTGTAAAGTACATGGTCCAGGACTTCACTCAGTAAATGTTAGCTACTGTTAAATTTTCTCTTCCTGCTATGCCTGGAGGTAGTCTGTGAATGCATTTGATTAATACCTGTATTGTAGAAAATGTCAGTGTTATATGGGATTCACAGAGCAATTGAATACAGTACAGTCAGCTTTTAATTATTCACATATTATTATCTCATACAGTTTTAAAATTCATGTACCATTTTGTAATGCTCAGTTTGAGCATTAAAGGTAGCATACTTTGAAACAACCCTGTTTGAAGATGAGGTGCATTCTAGACCCTACTGGAAATGTCCAGAAAGCTTTAAAATTAAGCTAATCAAGGCATATTATTTCAAAATATTCATATTTTTCAATTTCAAAATCAGTTACATAAGAGTTGCAAGTAATTAGCATTGTATAATTAAGTCTAAATGTATGAAGTATACATTTTAGTCCTTCAATGTTACATCTTTCTTAATATAGAATCACTTGGTATTTACTTGTGTAGTTTCTAAGTAATATTTCTTAAGATATTTAGTTCTTTACACAGTACTATAGATTATATTAGAATTATGAACTTTGCTACTTTGTTGAATTTAATGTTATTATTGACCCTGGTCTTAAAATGTTTAATATACTTGGCTAACAAGTATGTATATTTATATATATTCCCTTAAAGCTATTTGCTCATTGGTTACATTTGACACATCTAGTTTCTGAAGTGATGTTGAAGAGAGGTTAGAAACATTTATAATTGACAGATGCAGCACAATAATTTGAGTAATGACAAACTTGTAATATGGTTAAGTTTCCTTTTTTTTTTTTTCCTGTGGCCACCCTCCTGGTGCTGTTTTACTATGTCTAAGTCTGGTGTATTCCCTAAATGGCACATGGCCCCAGCATACTCCCATGCATTCCCCTGGGCAGTCGCGGTTAAAACAGCTCCTTGCATATTGTGCCGAGAGGCGGAAATTGGCCACTGGCCATGGGCGGATGCAGAGCTTGAATTGAAAATCAAATTAAACAGAATTTTCTACTTAGTTTTTAATTAAACCACTATGTTAATTCAAACAGGACATTTTAGGCCTGGGGGGTTGACTATGTCCTTTTAAGGGCCTTAAATAGCTTTTTTTCTTTCTTCTTACTGTGGCGTATGTTTCTGTTTTATTAGGACCATCTCCTTGCTATTCCCTTTCTTTATAATTCTCAAGTGCAAAAGAATATACATGCTTTTGGTAAAGTAAATTTTTTTTTTAGTGAGAAGCTAACTTTTGTTTTGGAATTTAAACTTTCCATTAGCAGTTAAACGTTTATCAAATTTGGATTATTTTGCTGTCATCTATATGCACTGTATTGTGTGTTATATATGTTTATATGTATTTGAACCTGACCCCGTGTTTACATCTTAATTTTTCAACTCTGTTAAAAAAGGTGTATCTGTTGGTTTTTGTTCTACTTTGTGGTAGATATGCTTTTTCTGCAGTTTTTGATCTTGGTCACTTAATCGTATACCATAGTATGTAGATCCAAGGGCTTGGGGAGCATCTTAGGGCAGACATCACGG